CTTCACTTACTCCAAAGAAAGGAAGAAGTATGACCACACAAATGCTTGCACATGAATGTTTGCATTATTTTTATAAACCTATGATCGGGCCAGGCGGTGGTGCTGCATGTCTTTTTTCCCAGCACTCTAGAGGCAGAGGCAGGTGGATCTCTGTGAGTTTGAGGCCAGCCTGGTCTACAGAGTGAGTTCCAGGACAGGCTCCAAAGCTACACACCAAATCCCTGTTTAAAAAAACAAACAAACAAACAAAAATCAACAGGACCTGAAGAGATGCCTTAATAGTTAAGAACTGCTCTTGTAGTGGACCCAGGTTTGGTTCCAAGCACCTACATGATGGCTCATAACTGTCTGGAACTTACGTTCAAGGAGATCTTACACTCTCTTCTGGCCTTCAGGGTTACCAGGCATCATGTGGTACCCATGCATACATGTAGACAAAACATTCATACACATAAAATAAACATCAACAGGTGAAAAAAAGAGTATTTGAAATGTAAAACAGGACACAAAATGGCTCAGTGAGTAGAGTGCTTGCTATCCAAGGATGAGGACCTGAGTTCAGATCCCTAGTACACATGTAAAAAGTAAAACATGGAGGTGGGGTAGAGAGATGGCTCAGCGGTTAATAGCACTGGTTTCTCTTCTGGAGGACCTGAGTTCAATTCTCAGTTACCACATGGCAGCTCACAACCATGTATAATAGGATCTGGTTTTTAAAAATATATGTACCTAAAATGGGCAGGTAAGGGTCAGGGATGTAGAGACCAATGGGCCAAAGAACGTAATGGTCAAGAGTCTAGCCAAAATGGCAAGCTCCAGATTCACTGAGAGATGCTGGAGAGCAGTGGAGGAAGACACCAACCTCTTGCCTCAACATGGGCTGCAGGTGCACACATCTGCTCATCCCACCACACACAGCTGGAAACATCAACAGAACATTCCAGCAATGCAAAGACACAAATCCTGACACATCCCAGACACAGATGAATCCAAAATAACTGTGCTGTAAAAAGTTTGTACTCTCTGCTGGGTTTTGTTTTGTTTCTGAAGTCCCAGAAAATACTCAAGCAGGAGGATGAAGGATGAACCACAAATGAGCCCATGGCCCTGCAGCAGTGATAGAGATGATCCAGATCTTACTGTGATGGCATCTATCAAAACTTATAGTGCCAGCGGCGGTGGCCAAAGCCTTTAATCCCAGCATTTGGGAGGCAGAACCAGGTGGATCTCTGAGAGTTCGAGGCCAGCCTGGTCTACAAAGTGAGATCCAGGACAGGCACCAAAACTACACAGAGAAGCCCTGTCTCGAAAAAACAGAAACAAAAAAAAAAAAAAAACAAAACAAACAAAAAACAAACAAACAAACAAACAAAAACCTTACGGCATGACAAGACTTGGAGTGAACGAAGCTAATTACCGACAAATGCAACCTTAGTGAGTTTAGAATGGAATTATATGGGCCAATTATCATTCAGGAAGG